GATTTGATCTTGATTTGATTTTAACGACGCCACCCAAAATAAAATCAATGATATTTTCTTATGTCCCCCTCCAAACCGTACAATTTTTATTTGAAACATTTTTCTATATCTATCATATTTTTCAAACAATCTTAATGTATTATTTAAGAATATATTTCGGATCCGTCATTTTAAAATGTATACTTCTGACCTCGAATTCGTGTTCAGCAATCAAATAAACAACAGGTAATACTAAACTTTTACATAACACGATTTCTCTAATTATTCTGCGCGCATTTTTAACTAGGGCTCCTCTACACCTTGGTTATCACTAAATCGCGTTCTCACGAATCGTCTTTCGCGTTTGTCAAAATACAGCTAAGAATGTATCGTCGGCTTATAAAATGTCTTTCATCTGACATCAACAAGCGACTCTTCTTCTTACATGTAAGTAAAACGATACACCGGATAAATATAGAACCGGAAGGAATACGTTTCTGCTTGCATATCTCTGTGTCATCGAAAAAAACATCTCCGTTTCAATGGACTTCGTTTAAGAGGAAAAAGAATGCGTTTCACTTCTTATTGTTAGTCAAGAAATAATTGTTATCGTCTTTATCTCTCTGCACCCGTTGTCAAGAAGAACTTTTTTTTTTTCTTCGGATTTCTAATAATAATGAGCGATAAAACGTGCGTTGTAATATATATTATTAGCACGAATCTTTATCAAGGCATAAAAATCTTCGTATTTATCTGATGCGTCAAACAGCGCGTTATAATTTCTCACCGATAATAAATCTTCTATCACAAAACATCTTCACAAGCTTCGTAATCACTCGTTCGATTTAGCGAAGTTTAATATGTCCTGATAAAAGTTAACTAATCCATTTCGTAACGCCTACGCGTAGACACGATGCGTTATTAAATTAAATGTCAGATACTAATGTGTTGCGAGAAAAATTGCGTCTATAATTAAGTTCTCAGGAAAACGAGTTTCTATAAAAGAACGTCATGATGAACTCTATAATATAATTCACGATACATATTGTTTTAATAATTCTGTAATCAGTAGTACTAAATTGATTAATAATTTCATTATTTATTTTTGTCATATTATATTTTCCAGTTTTTATTATAAAACTGCATTTCAAAATTGAATAATAATTGGCGCATGGATTTAAAAGCATAAAAATAAAATAATATAAAATAAAAATACAGTCGAACTTTGATAACTCGAATCTCAAGGGACTAGAAAAACTGTTCGAGTTATAGAGTTTTCGACTTATCGAAATTCGAGTAGAAGAGGGTTAACATATAAAAATTCGACTTACGAATGCTTTATACGAGAGAGTTTATAATTTTCCGATTATAATGGCTTTTAGAGAAAAAAAAGTCAGTATTTGACAGTGAATTATTTATTGCATACATATGATAAATGTAATCATAAAACAAAATACCAAGCTATTACTCACGGTTACATGTAGCTACAACTTCGAATTATACTGGTAGCGACAATGGAAGTTCAACTTATAGAGGTCTGGCTACTTTAAATTTCGAATTACAGAGGTCAAATATTCTAATTGCTTGATAAATAATTTGAGTTAATGTAGGTTTTATTTCAATTTATAAAGGTTTTTCGCGCAGCGAAGCGAAAGAGGATAAACAAAATTTTCGTCTTATAGAAGTTTTCGAGTTGTACAGATTCGAATTATCGAGATTTCACTGTAATATAAAATTCAAAAAAGTTATTATTAAGCATAGCACTCCACCCAATAATCAAAAATTATTTAATTATTTATTCTGTATATGTTGTTATATATATAAATGCGACAAATATTGTTTAACGCTCATCAATTGCGTACAAAATGAAGATGGTGCGACGTTAAATTTTTCTTAAAATATTACTTTCACGCAAACGCGTTTTTCGTCGCGCTCAGATAAATCCGGAAATCATTTACCCGCAGAATGCGGCAAAATGCGGGGATATAACGAAGCGGGGTGGGGAGATTTGTATCGCGGTCTCCAAAAGTGGTAGGGACGTGGAAACGGCGTGACATAGGCCCTTCATAGAACACCGTGCCTATACCTAACGTGGCAGAATCTCCAAAGTTGCCGAGGGCCGCGGAGATCGGGCACGCGCGAATACCTGATCTCTCTGATTAAAAGTCGACGTTTCAAACTGTCATTTTTTTCTCTTCGATTTCCTCTCCGCGCTATCGTCGCGTCTTAACGTTATCTTGCCGCGTCAGTTCCGTCACCTCTTCCGACGATCGATATCGAATGAGGAATTAGTTTCATCGATCTTCTCGTTCTCGCGAAAGGGAGAGTCCGATGACGTGAGAATGGAAATATCTCCGCTGGAGAGGGTGAGGCTGACCGGCGACATTCGAGGTCCATCGCGCAGTTCGCTCACCCTCGGCGACGCCACGTGCCAATAACGGCGATCTCGGCCGGAAGACCGGAGGCGATTGCCCTGTCCGCGGACTGCGCCCTGTGTATTTTGAGTGTATTTCGCAAAGTGTCGCGAAGTTTTTCGCGAGAGATGCGTGACGAGGCCGCGCGTGACTCACGACGACGACGACGACGACGACGACGACAAGGACGACGTGCGGTTGCCGAGGTGTCACGTTTCGACGCGGGAACGATCTCCACGGTTCGTCGGTCATGAAACGAAGACGTTTGAAGCACGAGGACCTTTGTATCCCGCGGGTGAGAATTTTACGAAGTGTTGATTGCGCACAATCGTTATTTCGACATCGCATACTCGGATGAAAAAAGACAAAAACTGCGCAAATTTCTCACGCAAACGTTTCGCAGAAATTTAGGAACAATAGAACCGTTTTATCAATAGATTTCAATTAATATCCATTTTATTAATAGATTCCAATTAATGACCATTTTATCAATAGATTTTAATTAATATAATTATTCTAATTAATATAAATGTTAATTGGTCTGAATTAAATTACTATGCATGTATAAAATAAATATTCAGAATATTTGTAACAATTAATTAAATTAAATTAAATTATTTTAGTTAAATTATTTTAATTAAATATGAAATTATGTTAATAATGAGCTTAAATATATGCATTGGATAGTAGAGGATGATCGATAAACTTCCGCAGCAATTTTCTTTCCCTCCGCGGACATTGGCGGTCGCGATAACAGGGAGCTTAAGCATAAGAATCATTGCGTTGAAATGTTTTTGAACTCGCGCACGCACAGCTCACGCGATCTTTCTCACGCGTATATCACGCACGGCCGGACACACAATGGCAGAATATCGTTCAGGGTTCACTGACCGCGCGTACCGTCCACTTACATTACATTTCGCGATACAAGGCTGTCATCCTGAATTAGTAATTACGCCGCGCTTTCTGAAATGCATATTCGTACTATCCTCCGAATTCCCCGAATACGTGGGGTGGACGTATAATATGAGTCATGAGAGAGGGTGTCCACCCTGTTTACTCCCCCCTCCCCTCTCCGTGCGCCGTCCGATATATCCCGCGTCTCCCTTTTTCGAGACCGCATGTCCATCGCGCGCGAGCGAGGGTGCCTCGTTCACCGTGTCTTGCTCGTCAAGTTTCGCGTGCGTCTTCCTGCAGCACGAAGTGCTCGTTAACTGACCCCAGCCCTCTCCCTTTCCTCCCCCCTCAGATTGGTCGAGTGAAATCATTATGATCTGCCTATCGAATTAGTGTCGCCTTCAACGAGCATTCGCGATTCTCCGTGCTCGCGAGACAACATACTTGGAATTTATTTACATTTACGTGAAAAATCATCTTGCCGCTATTGTGCCACGATGTTCTTACACGATACTCTTGGTATTTGTAATTATTCTACTGGAAGAAGTAAACGATCTAAATTAAGGACTGGCAAACGTTTTTTTATAAAGAAGCTTATAAAGGAGTTTTCTTATAAAGCAGACAGTATAAATTTTAGATTTTGCAAGAGGGTATTATGTAAATACTTATATAACAATTTCCTATAAAATTTGTATTAACTGAATTGAAAATAATTTATAATTACGCGAGCCGTACTTTGCCTAGCTCTAATCTGCAGGGTGGATAAATACTAAGTACACTGAGAAAAAAAGTTGTTAAAATAACTAAATGCGTTTTATTGATAATTTTTTTTTGTTTAATTATATATATTTTTTAATTAAACATACATAAATAACATTAACATGATATTTTTGTGAATTAACAAGTATTTTGTTGAATTAATAAATATTTGTTTGACAACCCGTGACCGCCATTTATAGTTAAATCAAGAAATATTCATTTGATTTTACACTTTTTTTTCTCTCAGTATAATGTAAACGATTTTAATGCATGATTTCTTACACAAATTTAAGATAAAAACTTTATATGATTATACATATATCTGAATCGACTTAGTTATATTTTTGGAAAATATCGATTTTTTCAAAAAAATTTCGAAAGTTACTCCAGTTATTTTGATGAAGTATTTTGTATGTGTTTCAAGTTTTTTCAAAATAATGCGAGTTAATTTTTGAAATTTAAAAAGAAACGAAATTTTTTTTTTAACTTTGACACCCTGTATCTTTGAAACTAAGCCGTTTCGGACATAGTCATATGAAGTTTTTATCTTGAATTGTGTGAGAAATCACCCCTTAAAGTCTTTTACATTTCTTATTATCCACCCTGTATATTTATATCTAAACAATATAAACATATAAATGTGAATTTGTTAATTTAAATTTGTTTTAAAACTACGTTGACGAAAGTGACAAAAGATAAGCTTCACGGAGAACTTTTGTGAATCAGGAGACGCGGTAGCGGCTTCCGCCAAAATTTCTTTTTCACGAAAATGTTAAATCAAATGCCAGATCGTTTTTCGAAACTTTTTAAACGCGAGAAATTTGTCTGTTCCTTGCCAGACGGGCAACATCTAAGGAATAGCGGGCTGGTCGCGTGAGATCCATCGAGATGTCGTCGAGCGTGACACCGTCGCACGAGCCCACGACGACAACGACGACGACGACGACGACGATGACGGCGGCGGCAGCGGTGACGGAGGCCACGGAGCTGGACAGCGACGGTTCGAGCTGCGGCGAGCGCGACGTCTGGAAGCGCGTCCGCGGCGATCCCGCCGACGCCGGGCCCAAGAAGCGTCGGAAGCAGACCACGCCGGTAAGAGTCTCGTCCGGCCTCGCAGGCGTGCACGAGGATGCGCGCGAGGACGAGCGCGAGGACGAGGACGTCGAAGGTAAGCCGTCGTCGCGATCGCCGTCGTTGCTGAGCAACGACCATCACCAACAACACCACCACCACCACCACCGCCACCACCACCACCATCACCATCACCACTCGCCGTCGTCGAAAGACGAGAATCTGAACAACGAATTCCGCTGCCAGCACTGCGGCCGGCTGTTCGACAGCGACGAGACGCTCAACGTCCACGTGGACGGCGAGCACGGTGGTGCGAGTCAGGCGACGCCGGCCGTCACCATCAAGGTGGAGCCGGCGCAGCAGTTGGACCCAGCCAGCGAGGGTCCCGTTAGCCTCTTAAGCGTTAAGAATTTCGCGACCACGTGGCTGGCGTCCGGCAGCCAGCAGCACGTGCAGTCGCAGACGCAGATGCAGCCGCAGAGCGACGAGTCGTCGTGGCCGTCGGGCGGCCCGGTTAATCAGATCGTCACGATGACCAATCATTTGCAGGCCCTCTCGAGTTTCCCGGGCGCCCTCGCGCAGTATCTACCCCTGCCAAATTTTCCCCTGACCGATCCCCAGCTTTCTAGATCCTCCCTCGGTCCCGTGCCGGTCAAGATCTTCAATCCGGACGCGTATTGCGACTTGTGCAACAAGGAGTTTTGCAACAAGTACTTTCTGAAGACGCACAAGGCCAACAAGCATGGGATCTACGTTGACTCGCCGGTGCCAACCGCGGCCATCGACCCCGCCATCAGCATCGCCGGCGGCAACGTCGTATTCGGCGCACCGAATTTCCACGCGGGTAACGTGAAACTGGAGCCGCCGGCGACTCCGCCGCAGAAGCGTTTCCGCAACGACGAGCCCGCGAGAAAGCACAAGCCAAAAGCGCACAACGACTCGTCTGTGGATCAGCAGTCCGACAGCAGCCAGCAGATCATCGCGGTGTCGCAGAGCGAGGAGGATCGCGTGATGACGCCGCGCGACAGCCCCAGCGGCATGGAGGCGCTCCTGAAGCAGGAGTACGGCATCGAGCAGGAGGACGCGACCTTCATGCCGGCACCGAGACATCTCTCGCCCCAGTCCAGCCAGCAAGCGCGCGATTCCGGTTTCAGCGCCGACCTCCTGCGTCGGCTGGGCGTCATAAATCCCGAGGCATTCTGCGAGATCTGCTGCAAGGAGTACTGCAACAAGTACTTCCTGCGCACGCACAAGATGAAACGGCACGGCATCGTCGTGCAGGACAGCGAGCGCTCGCCCGGCAATCCCGGCACGACCGTCACCACTTGGCACCAGGTGCAGACCAGCCCGCTGAACTTGATCGTGTCCGAAGCGGCCGCGGGCGCGGAACCCAACGACCGCGGCGGCGAAGAGCACGAGTGCAAGCCCTGCGACATTCGCTTCCAGACGATCGATCTGTATCAGGCGCACTGCAGGAAGATCCACGAGATGGGCGAGGAGCGCGGCTCGCCGAAGCAGGAATACGACCTGGACGGCACCGATCAGCGTAACGACTCGATCTCGGAGGACCTTCAGAAGTTGCAGACGATGATCTTGCAGCTGAACGGCCTGCAGGATTCCGGCAAGGAATTATTCTGCGCCGCCTGCGGCAGGGAGTGCGACTCGAGGTCGGCCCTGCGCGTTCACATGGCAACCGAGCACGGCGTCGCCGGCGACGAGGCCGCGTCGTCACCGCAGAAGTCACCCACGGCCGTTTCGACCATTTTCTGCACTCTCTGCGAGAAGGATTATCCGAGCCAAGACGCCCTGAGGAGACACATTAGCGAGGAGCATCAGCCCGTCGTGTCCGGTGCTGTTACACTGCCGGCGCTGCCGCCGACGGTAATCGCCTCCTCCGCCAGCTCGACGCCGACCAGTCAGACACCGAGCGGCCAGACGACGACGACGACGACGACGACGATGACGATGCAGGCGGAGAAGAAGGTGACGTCACTGACGCCCACGTCGAGCTACTGCGAGATCTGCAACAAGGAGTTGTGCAACAAGTATTTCATGAAGACGCACATGCAGCGGATGCACGGCATCGAGATCGAGAACGGCGCGCAGATCGGCGGCGTCATCTGCAACATCTGCAACAAGGAGCTGTGCAGCAAGTACTTCCTGCGCGTTCACAAGCACAACACCCACGGAATCGTCGACGAGAACACGTCGTCGGGCTCGGCGTCGAACAAGCAGGAGCCCTATGACTCATCGGCCGCCGGCGCCGAGGACTCGTCGTCGCTGAAGCCGGAACAACTGGGCGATCTTAGTCACAGATACTTCACCCATTTCACCGAGGTGTGCCCGATTTGCAGCCGGAGGTTCCGCAGCATCAAGTGGCTGAAGGCCCACCTGATGGGCGACCACGGCAAAGCGGGGATCGACAAGTGGCGCGAGTTGGAGCAGCAGTATCAGGCGACGTCCAGGACCAGCGGCAGAGGCGTCGCCTCGGCGAAGAACGCGCAGCAAACGCCAAATCTGAAGATCCCCAACGGCTTCGAGGTTGCCCAACAGGTGAAGCCTCTCGATTACACGAGTCTGGGAAATCAGATGCTGTCAAACCTTCTCGGCTCCTCGTCCGAGGAGCATCAATTGAAGAATTATCGCTGCGGCTATTGCAGCTTCACGACCCCCGTGCTACCCTTCCTCTTCCTTCACGAGCGATCCCACGTGAACCCGCAGGAAAATCTCGAGGGGGATCGAGGTCTGCAATGCCCGATCTGCCTGCACGACTTTCATCAACCGGAGCTGCTTCATCAGCATCTGCTCGCCAAGCATCAGTTCCCCTCGCTGTTGTCGCAGTTCCAGCATCCTCTCGTGAACAACTTTAGATCGGACATCGACGTGAAGGCGAGCGACGCCAAGGACAGAGCTGATCAGGACGCGAAGGACGATCGCGTGGGATGCAGTCCGCAAATCGATCGGAACGTCCCCGAGGCCGCGAGAAACCAGCGGCAGGACGACAACGCGGTGAAGGTGACGCCTCAGGGTGTGTACAAGTGCGCCCAGTGCGGCTACGCGACGACGAATCTGAATCGCATCAAGAAGCACGTACGGAAGGATCACAAGGCGATAGGCGACCCGACGGAGAGCGTGATCGCCGAGCTCAGCAAGACCCTGAAGGACGTGGCGAACAAGCAGAAGATGCCGGCCTGTTACGCGATGCCGCAGGACATGAACTCGAACCCGGACAAGACGATCATGCAGCCGTTCCTGATCGAGGAGCAGGATCTAATGCAGGTGGGCGCCGAGTCCAGCTCGGCGAAGAGATTCGCGCCGGCTCTGGTCTACTTGCCGGTCAAGTCCAGAATCGGCAACGCCCTGACCGCCTCCTTCACTCTCACCCCCGCCTGAGCTTTTAGATCGCGATCGCGTTACCTCGCGTCAGCGTCTTGGAAGAGTGCGCGCGAGCGGCAGCATCTGCATCTGCGACCTGAGCACGTGGTATCGGTTCCTATTTATCGTGTATAAGACGAGCAGCCAGACGGCAAGTGTTATTTGCACTATAATACTTTGACGTTCCACTAATTTTTAAACGTATATTTTAGCGATTTTTGCAGACTTTCCTATTGTCGATTTAACTGACAGCGAGTCCTCCGGTTTCATGTTGCGAATTAATAGAACAAAGTGAAAATAGTCGAGAATCGACGCGGTACCGGGCTGATGAGATTATTCTTCTTCTCCGAAATTTGCATTGCACGAAAAATGATTTCGGAACCGTTCGATGTTTGAGAAAACAGTCTTTATAAATAGAACAGAAAGTTTTTAAATTACTTTCTTAGACATTAATCGGTTCAAGATTATCTTTCATTACGTGCAATATTATCTTTGTAAGAGAATAATAATCTCATTTGGCGGTATTTCGTCTCTAAAGCTCGTGCCACGTCACGAGATTGCTCGTTTTTTTTTTTCGTGGCATCGACTTGAAATACGGGGAGATTATTCTGAAGCAACAAGGAGTAGGACTCGTTTACAGATTTTATTTCCCGAGAGCGACGAGTTTAGCAGAACGAAACGATCTCCTTCGGAAGGGAAGACTTTTCAGAAAAATAACGAGACGAGATTGTTATTATTGTTCTAAGTGTAGGGAACATACTCGTTATATACTCTTGTAAATACTTAATCGTAACGTAATTAAAAACACGAACGGGTGATCGACAAAGTTCCTATTTTAAACGCGATGGGGCTCCCGGACATCGGGAGGCCATCCCTCTCTTCGCTTCGCATTTTACTTAACGTCGGTTTTTCTTGCTTTAACATGTCGGTTTTTTGCTTCTGCTCAAGTGAACCAAAAAAAAGAACAAAAAAAACATCGCGCGTGAGATCGTTCGATTGGCATTATTATAAATCCATTCACCGTTTCTTATCGATTTTTTCTTTTCTCGCGACTGTTCTAGTCAATATTTACGTGAATATAAGAGAGTTTTCTCAGAGATAGGGAAGATTTATAGAGAGATATTTATCATACACACATAGAATATATACGCTAGACTCCGAGAAAAACACCGTCGGGCGGTGCTAATTAGACGCGACCGCTAAATTTAACGTCGCGACGTGCAACGCAGCCGAGAGAGGCGAGTGCGTGATACAAAACGGTGAACAATGGAGGTATTTTGGGGGTATCAATATATATGCGCAGAGAGAGAGAGGAAAAAAATCGCCAACCAACTCAGGGGTGGACACAGTATAACCCGCAACAAAGAGTACAATCGTATACACAGCCAACGCATTACATAGACTTTAAAATAACTTTTAACTTATAATGATGATGATGATGATGAGAGAGAGATGTAGCGCGCGTCTCGTAAATGTTTCCGCGGAATATATCAATATAACGATCGGCCACTCTTCCTCCCCTCCCTCCCCGCCTCGGGCCGGAGGGGGGCGTCGCGAAACGACCAAGCTCGATCCATTTCGAATATTCGACAAACGGCCCCCGATTTATACATATATGTATGAGCCACATATACGGAAGCTATACAGCACACTCGGATTATTTAACTAAGGATCGCCTAGTCTAGTCGGTAAAACGCCACGGACATTCCGAGTCCGAGATAAAAAAAAAAAAGAGTTCCTTCTTGAAAGCTGTTTCGAACCTCGTGCCTTTGCAGCTTGAGAAACGCGTTACCCCGCGAACTTCCCCGTTATCAGCGCAGCTCTCGAAAAGGATACATCCGGATGTAAAGAGATCGATCTGCTTACGATTATAATAAATGTGGTTTCCATCGGGTGTGTTCTCTCTCTCTCTCTTTCTCTCTGACTTTTCTCTTCTCTCTCTTTCTCTCTCGATCTCGTCGTGTAATAGCCGTTTCTCTTTTCCTCGTAGTGACGCGATTGCGATACTTTTCCTTGAGAGAATAAGTCGCAAATAACTGCGAAATTGTTTCACGGAAATGTCCCATAAATATTTATCTCGAAATCCATTAGAGAATATGACCAGCACAATTTCATGAGGCGGCGCAATATACATTTTAATGGTTTCCTCTAAGACTATTTTAGATTATATGCACCTCTAAAAAGAGTTTCCGAAGCGATTGGAAATTAATTCGAATGTTCGTTCTAAAGCGAGTTTCTTTCCAAAGATTAAATGACCGGGAATATAAATAAATTGCGAATTGGAAAATCGGTGAAGGTCTCATTGAATTGTTTTATAAACGCGTTTTCTCTCGCGAAAAAACTTTCGGCGATCTCCTCGTCAGCTCGAGTTCGAAATCGAAATGCACGAAAGGACAGCTGTTGCCGCAATGACCACACTCTCGATAGCTGGGCGTGCAGCCGTTCTGACCTGCCTAGCCTCCCAAACACGTTTTCTCGCAGCGCGCACACCGGTGCGCCCATCCCTCCACGATGAACAAACATGCACGATGCATTTCCGCCCACGCGACGCGTTGCCCTTGCTCTGCCGTAAAATAATAACTCTGCTTACTCAGTGCAATCACGCTGTCTTTACTTACCGAGCGATATTTGGAATGTCAATATCCTTTTTTTTTTTTTTTTTCAAAAAATTATCAGACAAAATTTCCGTGGATTTTACTATTATTTAGACAATTTCAAAATCTTTCTAAAACAATATAATTTAATAATAAAAAAGAAAGAAACAAGGCTAATGGGAGTTATAGCGCGGTAAGTAAAGCGCAAATCAATTTGGTAGTGTTATAAATCGTTTAATTAAATACTTGTTAACCCATGGACGTTTCGATTCAATTTTGAATCATCTTCAGCAATTAATGGAATTTTTTATGCAGCCTGAACAAATGTTTCGACAAGTCGTTATTACTGGAATTACTAACCAGGTATCAGCGATACAGCGTTATATTGAAGGCAAGTCACAACTTTAAGAAATTACGCTCACTCATTATCCCGGAAGCGTCGAGATCATTATTCCATTAATTGTTGAAGATGATTCAAAATTGAATCGAAACGTCCATGGATCAACAAGTATTTAATTAAACGATTTATAACACTACCAAATTGTTTTGCGCTTTACTTACCGCGCTGTAATTCCCATTAGACTTGTTTCTTTCTTTTTTATTATTTGACAATTTCGGGAGTTCACTAATTTTATATTAATATAATTTAACGTATTTCTTCTCTCATTATGTTGCCCTGCAGATATTTGTACATTTATTTTAAAGTATCTCGAGATGTTCAGATGTAGATTATACATTTACATATATTTTAGAAAATAATTATATTTAAATGTTTTTTAAAAATTGCACAGACGCGAAGCTGTTTAATTAATAAATAATCGCGATAATTGGCTTTGCGTGCAGCAGTTCTTAAAATTCCGCTCGATGACATGCAAAGAAATAAATTACGCTCGAATGAAGCTGCTATCGAGAGGTGACGTGCGAGGCGATAAATAACACGAGTAGACGTATCGGTTCCCACTGAGATGCGACATTCGGCGCGTTCTGGTAATGCGAATTTGGCGCTGTCAGAGAGACGGCGATGATTTATTCCGGGCACGATTTCCATGGCATGAGCCGCTTTTTGTCTCAGGGGTCATAAAAGTTTTCCCCGCGCGCGCGTGCAGCTGAAATTCGAGAACCGCGTCATTTAACGAGGCGCACAAGTTCGACGCGATGTGCTGGCCGTTACCGAAAATTCGTCTGAATTAGTATGCGCGCACGCGTGCATTAATATGACTTAGGGGAGAAGAGAGGCGATCGGCCATTACGCAAATCTATCGAGGGAGAAGGAATGAGAGAGAGAGAGAGAGAGAGAGAGAGAGAGAGAGAGAGAGAGACATAAAGGGAGAAGGAAGAAGTGGAAACGGCCACTGGACGGAGGGAGAAGGAGCGATTCTCTCGTTGGGGAAAAACGAATTTTTAGCCGGCATTGTCGTACCGGCGAGAGACGGGCCCCGGACAAAATAGGGCCTCCACCATCTGGTCCCCCTTCCCTCTAGCGAGAAGGTCAGAGAGGAGGAAGGAGGTCGCGACCTTGGCGGGGATTTTTCCGAAAAAGTTTCGTGAACGAAACGACCCGAAGGGGGTGGAGGGGACGCGCGGCGTCGCACCCTTCCCCCGCTTCGCCCCGGCTTCTCCTATTTTGCCCGCCTGGTCCCCCCCCTCACGTGCGCGCGGTGACACGCGAAACGCGTCGCACGATGCAAAACTCCAGCCTCGACCCCGACTCTTTAATTGTGTCCCATGCAGATATATGCGTATTGTGCACTTAATGGCCCGTGCGCGACGCGTTATATATGCATGTGCCAGGGATATATGCCGATTTTAATTATTATCCATGGAGGAGGGAAGAGGGGCACACGCGCGTACGCGCGCGGCGGGGTGGATGATGATAAATCCAAAGGCGAGACAAAGTCGGGGAAGCCGATGGTTCTTTCTGCCGCACGCGTGGCTGCCGTTTCCGGATAACAGCGAGCGATCGTGACGGACGCGAAACAATTTCTTTGGTACTTCGATGTGCGAGGGGCACAACGGTCAGATCAGATGTGAAATATCAGAAAAATATGCAGATATCTGTGATCGAGATATTATTGAGCGCCGAAAGCAATCTGGCGACGATTATCAGACAAATATATGTATTACTTTTATCGGTTTTTTTTTATGTCGATAAATCCGTTTGGGATAGTGTTTAATTTAAAATATGACTGCCGCCCTCTTTGTCGAACACCAAAGAACTTAATCAAAACGATTGTCCTTCATTGAGAAAAATTAAATTATATTTACGTCGACACGAGTGTCCAATTAAAAAATTTCTTCTTCTCGATACCTGCATGTCTAGATTTATAATTTGGCGGAGTTCCGGACGATCGCTAATTGTAAACCACGAGTGTCGACGCATGTCGAAGCCGAGTAGCGAGAGGGAGATTGTGAAGAAGCTCTCCG